GCCTGGCTGAGTGTGCTGGGGAGGGGAAAAAGTATTTGGTCCTACCAACCATGTAATTAGGGAGAGCGATGCCTGGGGAGCAGGAAGAAGGCGCCTGGGGATGCTCCTGCACATGCACCAACTGTCCGGTCCTCATCCCAGCATGGGCACACAGCAGGGCTGTGCCGGGATGGAGACTGAACCTCGGTGACACATGGGACACCAGTGTCGGCATTTACCGTGACTTTGTGCTGGCCGGTGAGGTTGGGGGACTCGCAGAGGAGCTGGGTCTCGGAGACGGTGAGGGTGCAGGGAGTGTCTCCGATCAGCACCGTGTAGTTCAGGCGGGAGTTACCAGCGGCCGGCGGGAGCAAGTTCCTGCCCTTTGAGGGAACAAGGAACGAGATTGTCAGTTCTCATGTAACGGAGAACGCTTTAAAAACCCAACATCAAGGAAATTTGTGCTCTCACAGTGCAGGACTTTGCCCCAGGAGACATAAAAAGCCACCTCCATGGAGGGACACGTCCCTAACCTCTGCCCCCAGGTGCACGCTGCCTTACCTTGAGGATGAGGGGAGAGCTGGGCTTTAACTCCAGCATCCCCGTGGGGCTGAGCGGCTCAAAGACAGGGTCTGGGTAGTAGACGAAGTTGGTGGTGTTGACTATGAGCAGGGCCTGGACGTTATCCATGACAAAGCCGATCTCATCCGGGCGGTCGCCGACGTCCGGCGGGCTGCGCTCGGGGTTGTCAATGGAGGGTGCATAGCACACCATGGTGGTGTCGTTGTACACAGTGCAGTTCTACGGGAGGCACAGACTGAGGTCAGACCTGGCTCCCGACAGGGGGGTCAGGATCAGACCCCACAAGTATCTCCTGCAAGCGGCAGCTCTGGACAGAGGGTTTAGACTGGGGATCTCCTGTCCTGTGCTGTTACATCAACAGGCACCACATCCCACCCCCAGGCAGAGAGAAACTCCTGTCTGCAATGGATGGGCAAGAGGTGGCACGTGGGAGCTCACTGGGGATGGGGTCTTTCTGTCACCATCCTGCAGACATGGCACAGTTTTGCACGCTCAGATCTCAACCCCCTATTTGGGTGCAGGCCCCGGACCTCAGCCCCTCCAAGGCCATCACAGCGGATGGGCAAGGGACGCGCTCTCCGCCCTGCACTGCAGAGGGCCAGCATCCCTCCTCCTCGTGCTCTGCCCCGCGCCCCAGCCAGCACCACTTACATTCTCCCTTTCAGAGCTGCAGTACTTGGCACGGATCCTGGGCTCTTTGATGGTGGCCAGGTTGGTGCCAGTCACAGTCAGCAGTGTCCCACCGCTAGAGACATGGAGACAACGGGTTAGGAGAGGCAGCTTGGCACTGGGTCCCCACTTCTGGGAGGCAAGCGCCATCCTCACCAGCCAGACACTCATCTGCCCCAGCCTGGGTGCACCACAAGGACTTGGGGACCTTTTATCCCACCCAGATGTCACCACAGCCAGCAGGATCTGGCATTCACCACCATCAAATCATCTCAGCTGACCCAAGGGCCAACTAGAGATATAAAACCTGCTAATTAATAACATCCCACCCTGTGTCCAGGTTTGGGGTCTGAAGGCAGCTCCCAAGCTAAAGGAGACCAAGAGACCACGATGAGAAAGCACCCTGAGGAGGAAGAGTTCCCCTACCCCTCCTCCAGGACACAGGCAGTGGGTGCAGGGCAGGCTGAGCCCTGACAGGTTTTCTCCACGGCTTGGTGTTACAAGCCCCACGGTCCCGGAGAGCTCGGCCATGCCCCTGGGGAGCTCGCTCCTCATCAGCACCCTGGGGAAGGTTTCCCTTGGCGTTAGCGCTTAATGGATTCCTTCGCCTCCTCTCCAGCCAATTCAAACCTTTTAGAAAAATATGTAAACATTTCAAAAAAATCCCCCGATGGGAAATATTTTAATTTTATTCACCATTGCCAAATGTCAAGCTGAAATTAAGCAGATCCAAAGCGCTCTCTGCTTTTGCCCCCTGCCAGGCTGAGCGTTGCAGGCCAGGAGCTAGCAGGGTCCTGG